CAGTACATATACATATACATGTTGTAAAATGTGATATCGTATGTATGTTGATTTATTATGTCATACAGTAAATAATCTTTATTTGTATGATTTTACCTTACATTACATTTGGTATTATATTATTTTAAGCGTCTTTAGTTATCGGAAATCGCCAAGACTCTCCCAGTGTCGTAGGGCTACACAGCTCCAGCACTCCAGGTGCTCTCCACCTTGAATATGGTCACTTGGTAGCGCTCGGAGGTATTGTTTACGGCATCAGAAAATCTTCATATACCATTTAGCCTCCATCAGGGAACTGCCATAACTGATGATTTAGGGCAAACCATCATCTGGAAATGTTCGTTTTGAGTGAACCGAACAGGAGAAACAAATTGAAGCTCCTGAAATCATATGAAATCATATACCATATACATCCTAATATACCATCAGAAGGAGCTATTTAAAGATGATTTATTGATTTTAATTGTAAACACCCCCAGTCATGGTGAATGTTGGATAAAAAGATGGATGGTTTGATATTTTTATGGATTGTAAGAGTGGATTATACCCTCTGGTAATTTAACGTAGCTATTGAAAATGGCCATTTATAGTGGATTTTCCCATTAATAATGGCCATTTTCAATAGCTATGTTAAATTACCAGAGGGTATAATGGATTAAAACTATTATAGTTTCCGCATCGTTTGTTTTTCTTCTGGCGGCAGCTATATGGTTGCAGATCAGCATCGTAATCCGCAGACTCAAATCCCATTGCTATTGATACCGGCCATGGCCCCATGACTATCTGAAGTAAGTCGCGGCGTGGATTGTTTTTGCTTTTGAATGATGATCAACACGTGTTTTGTGATAAAATCATGCAAAAAAAACATCCAATATCCAATTCAGTGAATTCTGTGTGCAAGTCCAATACAGTTATGGCCATTTATGAAATTTATAAGTGGTTATTTCAGTGGGATAAAAAACATGTTATTTCTATGGGGTGACTTCTTAGTACTTATAACTGGTATAACTCGGGCCATAACTGTAGATGGTGGATTTTCCAATAGATATATGTTTATTTATGTTTAGTATCAATAGATACCATCAATTACCATATATATATATTATTATATATTTATTTATAGTATCAATGGTAGGAATTGGAGGAGGCTGCTTTTTTGAAGGTGATTTCAATAGCGAAGGCCTCCACGCCTCCATGCCCAAGGCCGACCACCAAAGTGCCGCCATGGTCTTTTGCCGCTCGGCGACGGGATGAGATTGGCAACGCGACAAAGGGGGATGAGTCGGGATGAGTGAATACTGTGATACTATCATGCATATACAACTATACCTATAACTATATATATATAATAAAATATATATTATATATATATATATATACATATATCATATACACATATATATCATATATATATATATATCATATATATATCTATAATATATACACATATATCTATATGTCATATTATATATATTATATATATATCATATATATATATCATATATATATAGTATATACATATATATCTATATATCATATGTGATACACATATATACATATATATATATCACATATATGATATATATATATATATATATCATATATATATGTATATCATATATATATATCATATATATATATATATATCTATCTCAGTCTTTTGCTCACTTTCCGCAGACTGCTTCCGCATCCTTGGCGTCCATACAATGGCCATTGAGTCAGATGATTTACCCGGATTTGACCGATGATTTGCGAGAGAATTTTCGATAGCAAATCATCCAAAACAAATGGGGAATTGATTGATAAAATAAAAATAAACAAAATTTCATAAAGAGTCTAGAAAGTGCGTTCAGTTATACTGTTTAACAGATTCTCGCGGTAAGAAAGTCTACATGGTAGGCGCTTGGGTAATGAAATGTGACAATGCAACATCCACCATTTTTGAATCTCCTATTTAAAGCTTTTGATGGAGGACTGCTAGAGAGGCTAAGCTGGCTAAGCCTCACGCCTAGGCGCCTATGCACGAGCAGGACAAGTGCATTCAGAGGCATGGAAAGCCGCTGAAAGCCATGTGTTTTCGAATCATTTTGGGATGGGTTTCATCGAGAGTCCATGGCGACAATCCTTTACATTTGGTGCGTCCCACCCTTGGACAACTGGTAAATGGATGTGAATGCATATATATGGTTTCGGTAGCCCTCAAGTTCTTGTGCCTTGCCACTGATAAATTTCATGGAAACTTAAGGAGTTGGACGTTTCACAATTTCACAATGATTTTCTTTCCCCATCACCGCTTGCTATTTTATCAAAGGGGTTGATGAATTGTTCATCTTGAGTCAAAATTTGTTTATAAAAAACGCAATATATCAAACTCATATGTGTGTTAAATTTGATATGTTATGTTATGTTGATATGCTTAATGTCAACACTGGATTAATAAGCCCCCAAACGGTTGTTTAATTGGAGGGTACCATTTAAGTATTAGACTATTGGAGGAGTACCACCCTAATTAATAAACTATGGTTTAATAACCACTATTAACCACTATCAACTCAGTATTAACCACTATTAACAACTTTTTCGTGGTTTTCATCCCCCGGTTTTTTGGGGCACTATCCAAGAGGTGCCGATCCAATCTGTTGGCTGAGGTCCTACAGGCTTTGGCTGAGAAGTGTGGTGACCTGGATAACCTGGATGACCTGGGAGATCCGGCAATGGGGAAATCGGAAATGGGGAAATTCCAATGGATTGATATGGTTTAAGATGGGTTATTCCATCTATAAATGGGTTAGATATATACAGTATATATATATATATATATACACTGGTTGGTGGTTTGGAACATGGTTTTTATTGGAATATCCATGGAATACTTGGAACATATGGAGGAATATCCATGGAATATCCATGGAACATACGTACTGGTGCGTTTTACGTAGGGAATGGATGGGAGTGGGGGAATGGGGTGATTATTGATAGTTACTTTTTTTTGAGATGTAAATAACAAGATCATAGTTGGGTGTGTCTGAACATGTGGCAAATGTGGCTATACCAACTAAATGTGCAATTCTCCAGTTTCCAATGGCCACAGTTTCACCCAACAGAAACTCCACAGATACCGCTTGCCAATTGGTGGGTTTTGGAGAGGGTTTGGCCGGATTACTTGGCGGTTTATTCTACTTGATACTCTAAACCTGGTTAAAATTGGGGTAGTGCAACCCCCGTCATAATTGGGTTTATAAGCAACATATATAGATATAGATACATTAGATATATATATATACATAAAGAGAGAGATATATATATATATATAGATAGATATCACCCATGAAGATGGCAAGTGCATCACATGTACATGCTTGCAAGAATCCAAGTTGCCAACCAATGGCAGGCTCGAGGGTAGTATACTATTTGTTAGATCATTTTTGTAATGTTAGTAAAGCAATAATAAGCAATCCATATTTGGGGATGGTTACTAGTGCTTTAACATTTGCAAATTTGCTAACAATATAATCATTCTCTGTTTCTGTTAGCAATGTTGCTATACTGTTTTGTTCATTTATATCGATTCATTTTTTACAGTCGGGCAGACCAAGGTCCCGTATATTCCGTATATATGTAAAATATAATATGTAGCCATTGTTCGGGATTAGGTGCAGACCAGTTGGCTTGTCCAGCAATGGAGCATACTTCAAAATGGTAGCTTTATGCAATGCGGAATGTGATGAACCAACCATAAACCCCTGGATTGCCCTGTGCCGTCCCATGTGCTCCATGCAATGTGGATGTGGCATACTTGCCGCAATAGCTGGGCCATTCTTGGAGCAAATGTTGCTAAATATTCTAGCACCATTTCAGCAACATGGGAGCATTTTGGTATGGGGCGAAGCGATGTTCTTTCACCAGCTGACCAGTGTACCCTCTGGTAATTTAACATAGCTACTGAAAATGACCATTTATAGTGGATTTTCCCATTAAAAATGGTGATTTTCCATAGTTATGTTAGTTTACCAGAGGGTAAGTTGCCTCTCTTGCGCGGCACTTGGCTCAAGCGCCTCTCGTCCATTTTCTTGCAACGTTTGATTCTTCTTGTTGGACCAACCTCGAACCAACAGAGAGCCTTGGCGCCAGCCATGAAGGGATGCCGGAATGGCTAGACCGACATCGCCGGGTTGTTCCAGAAACCGATCCAATTTGGACAAACTGGTGATGTTTTTTTGTTTCTGAGGTGAATAGCTGCCATGAGTCATATGTTCTTCTCTTGGGCCACTTCTGTATTTATAGACTTTTAGCTATCCTTGTGTAAAGATGTTGCTTGTTAAACTGTTAAACCATAGTAAATTACAGGAACTATAGATAGATCTAGCACGAACCCTAGTTATTGGAATTTAAAACCAACTTAGCTATCTAGTGGGTACCACCTTACATGTAAACGTGGGCATTCGATCACGGACAAACATTGGCACACACCCACGCGCAAACGCCATCAAACGCCCACATATCCATACATGTGTGGGATCGTTCATGTTTACGGACCGAAGTATGTGTGCGTGTGGTAAAACATATTGTGCATACTCTGGATTCATGAAACTGGTTAGTTTGGTTTGGTGAAGACTCAGACCTAAAGTGAATAATTACAGTTGAATTGTCAATCCATCAAGGGTTTAAATACTTAATCCATCTAAAAAACAAAATCGACGTAAAGTAGTTATATGTTCCATATACCTAAAAAAACACACTGTATGTGAAATACTTGAAACCAATTGAATCCGGTACATAGCTGATTGGTGGTTTCAATCATGTTTGATTTTCCATAATATATGGGATGTCATCCTTCCCAGGGACGAACTCATATTTTTCAAAATGGTTAAAACCACCAACCAGTAGATATATCTATAGTTAATCTATAGTATCTATACCAATACTATGGTTTATAAACCCCACTAACTATAGATATATCTATGGTTTCCTGGTATTTCACCCAGAATTTCGCCCAGGAGATGGGTTGCAATCAAAGCACGGCGGGCAAATCTGCGCCCAGGGAGTCCAGAGCCAACGTCGCTCGGCGCGTTTCGTCGCAGCGTGAGACGTGACTGTTACCCATGGCGCCTCCAAGAAATTGACACAAGCACTGACACAACCATGGGAAATCCAAGCATGTGTGGTATCTTGTTGACAAAAAATAGATCTTGATGATCTTGTTTGAAGTTCTGATGACGCAGAAACTAAAGCTGAGCAGTTGGTAAGATCTGTGCCAGACCTGTGGGTGGACGTCAGCCATGGGAAGCTGATCTTAGAGATTTTGCTGAACGGGCACCGCGTATTTTATGTTAGATGACTTTTGGCAAAATGTTTTGGAACTAGTACTACGGGGATCAGGTAGACATCCCGCAATGCCATTGATATGTCACTGATCCAGTGATACATTTAGAGATTGTGCCCAGTGTGCACTCCCTGTTCTTCCACGCTTTTTAAGTTGTCTTTTTTGAATTGAAAGGTTTCAACCAGCAATATAGAAATATATCGAACAATCATTGACCGCCACTTATGTTACATACCCTCCAGTAAACTAACAGTTTTTTTTCAAACTGTTAGTTCTCGGCTCCGAGGTGGATGAGCAGACCTATATGTGCCACAGACGAATATGGCATCACCGGGTGATTAAACCATCAAGATGAAGGGAAAAATATGGAAGAATGGCATTTGACCAAGAAGATGGATTTACCCTCTGGTAAACATACAAAAAGCTATGGAAAATCACCATTTTTCAATGGGTAAATCCACTATAAATGGTCATTTTCAATAGCTATGTTAAATTACCAGAGGGTATAAAACGTGAAAAATAGTGAATGAGTTTGCGCCGAATTCTAGGCCAACTAGCAGACTAGGACTCAAGGTGGATACATTCATAGTTAGATGGGACTGTCATTTTTGATATTTCTTTTGAACACGGGGCCATTTACACAACAGACACTGCTGAGATAAGAAACCCAGAAAGATGGCATATGTTTTCCCGGATGTTCCAAGCTTATTCCACGTGGTTTCAAGTTCAAAGAAACATGACAAGTCATGAGAAAGTATCTATCTATATCTATCTATTCTGATTATCTATTTATATAAGCTAGATAATTTAAAGCTAGATATATATAAGTATCTATCTATTCATTATATATAGCTTATTTAAGCTTGAGGAAGCTACTTCTACTTATTATGCCGTCCTCATCCTCGTTCTGTTCCCTTGGATGTGGGTCTCAGTCTTTGCCACACAAAAAATCAGGATACGCGGACACTCGAGCAATATCATGTATAGATTATTTAATCTATAACTATATTAACTATATACTATGTGGGGACATAGCTTTGGAAAATCACCATGTCATGTAGAATATGTATAAACCATTCATAAATCGGCCATGTTCCATACGTCTTTTATGACCGGAGGCTATGCCATGCTATTTTTAGATCAGGCGCCCATTTTTTTCGCTGACAAAATGCCATGGCAGGTTCCTGTGCAAGGTGAAGTTGTTGAAGCGTTTGCCCAAGGCGCGGACACTTGTTTCAACCATGTGTGTGTGTATATATTTATCGAAGGAAGTTTAGAAGTGAAACTTCCGACAATATGGACAGTTGAAAAGCAGAGGTGAGAAGAGTCAGAAGAGAAAGAGTCAGAAGAAAGAAGATGCAGATGCGCGAAAAGGTAGGGAAGTCGCGAAACACTGTGTTTTTCCAATGATTTGTGGCTCCGGAGAGTCGAAAAGTAGGCTCGCTAAAGCGGCGGGTGCGGAGCCAGCTGGCCAGATGAGAGATGAAAAGTTGCACGCCGTTGTGGCGCGAAGCACATTTCCAAGTCAAAAGGTACAAAACACACCAGGTCCGGACCACTTTTGGAAGTTGAGATGTCGAAAAAGTGCACGCCGTTGTGGCGCGAAGCACATTTCCAAGTCAAAATGCACAAAACACACCAGCTTCGGACCACTTTTGGAAGTTGAGATGTCGAAAAAGTGCACGCCGTTGTGGCGCGAAGCACATTTCCAAGTCAAAATGTTAAAAACACTAGGGGTTCGGACCACTTTGGAGGTTCAGATGTCGAAAAAGTGTCGAAAAAGTGCACGCCGTTGTGGCGCGAAGCACATTTCGAAGTCAACAGTGTAAAAAACTGAGGGTTTTGAGCCTTTTTTGACGTGAAGATGTCGAAAAAGTAGACACTGATTAACTTAACTAACTTCACTAACTTAACTACCTTAACTTCGACGACAACAGCAACAGCAACAACAACAACAACGACAACAACAACAACAACCACAACCACAACACCAACCACAACAACTACAACTACAACAACTACAACAACAACAACAACTACACAACAACTACAACTACAACTAGAACTACAACTACAACAACTACAACAACA